GCCTGGCTCTGCCTCCCGAGTGCTGGGATTAAAGGCGTGCACCACCACCGCCCGGCTCAATTACATTTTTATGTAGATACACTTGGTAGATGGATGATGAACCTTTTATTAGATTGTTTAATTTTGAACTCCCACAAGCAGTTCACACAGGGTGCAGCTGCCCCAGGCTTTATCAACCCTTTCCACTCAGGAAGTCTGGCAGCACCTCATCCTGCTTCCTGTGTGTATTTCCCTGGTAGTTTCTGAGGCTGAGTGTTTTTATACAGATTTACTGATAGGCTGGGTATCTTCTTTGGTTAACTTTGTATTTCAGTCTTGCAAAATACAAATAAAAAATGCTCCTGGTTCCCCAGCAAACAACTAGTGATTCACTCAGATACTCATAGGAGTATTTGGAATTTTAAAATAAAGCTGTATGTTAGAATGTTCTCATTCAGTGTCTGGGCTTTTTCACTTCGTGTGGACTTGGGGGTTCCTTTTCAGTCTCTTCCACTTTACTCGAAGCAACGAGTCTTGACTGTTGGTTGAGATGATTCCAGCTCCTGTTTCTGTTCCATCAAGGAATTCAGCCCCCGAAAAACCTGAAACCTTTCTTATGAAGAATAGTGTCCTAATACACAACATTTCAGGTGAAGGATGAAAATAGAGTTTAAAAACAAAGCTTTAGATGGCAGAGTATACATCCCATCATTTTCTGGCAAGTTATAAGCCTACAGTAATTTCTTGGTAATAAATTTAGAACATTTTTAAAGTATCACTTTTACAAATAAAATAATTACTAATATACATTTATATATTAGAAATGTTTATAAATATATTGTTTTCCAAAGACAAAACAAATGCAAAAGCAACTCTAAGATAATGCATTAGAATAACAAAGATTAATCTTTTTATCCCTCTACTTTCGTTAATGCTGTTTTCATCTGAAGCCCTTCTCCATAGTATTTCCTTTTCTCCAACAGCATTAATGTTGCCCTGCACATCTCACATAAGATGGCAGGCAGAGTCTACGAAAGGTGAACCAGAAAGGTGTGATGTGATCCACCTCTGCAGGTCCTTCAGAGCTTTTGAAAATGCCCCAAATATGAACATGAGTCCAGGACTCTGATGCAGCTCAACCCATTTGTGATGTTTATTCGGTGGCTCCTGTGACACGGGGACACTTTGATCAAATGATAACCACAGTAACTATTTAGTTTCTGCATTATCTTTAGGACACATTCAGTAGGTTGGAGTACTCTTAGCCTGGATGAAATAGGAACTTTTTAACTTGTCATAAAATAATAATAAACTTACAATCATAATAATCATTCATTCAGTACTTCCTTTTGGACTGATTTGGTTTACTTTTGACTCTGATTTCCCCTTTCACTGAGGACCACATCCTTAGCTGGTTTTGATGTTAATCACTATGAAAATGAAGATAGCTTAGTAGAGCAAAGTGCATTGATTTTCTTTTTCCTTTCTTTTTGTCATTATGTTTCTTGTTTTGTCTTGTTTGCTATTGTTTTAAACTTGAATTCCTGATTTGCCTGCCTCCACCTGCTGAGTGCTAAAGGCCAAGTCCTGTAGAGACACCAAGTGTTCTGGGATGCTCTGCAGACCCAGCCCTGGACTGAAGCAGGAAGCGCGCTTGGGTAAATATCTCCTATGCATGTTGGACAGGAGGTGAGCCATCTTGCCAACCCGCTTACCTCCTCAGCTCCCTTTGCTCTCGTACGGCAGAGGTCTTCAGGGAGGACCTCATTCATTAATTCTGGATTTCCATTTGTTCATTGGTATAACTTCCTCTTCTGCTCCACATCTCAAGAGATGGAAGCAGATAGATCTCTGTGATTTCAAGGCCCACCTAGTCTACATAAATCCAGTCCAACCACAGCTACATAATAGGACTATCTCAAAATAATAATAATAATTAGTAAGGAAAAGAAGGAAGTGCATACTCATTCTACATGGTATTGTGTTACACAAGGACATTTTCATTCCAGTATACGTTGGACTGGGAGTAAATCCCCCTCCATATTCCCTACCCTACCCTTTCTCTCCTTCCCTCCCATCAGCTAGTCAGTGTTGTCCTGCACAATTTCACTTGTACATACATAATTTTGTTTTGCTATAAAATCTAGGAAGCTCAAATGAGAAGAACATACAATATTTGTCTTCCTCAGATGGCTTTAAATCACTTAATATCATCTCTGGTTTTATCCATTTTCCTGCAAACTACATAATTTATTTTTCTTTATGACTGAAGAAGATTCCATTGTATATGTAAACCCCATGTCTTCTATCCATTCCTCTGATGATGGATACTGAGTCTGGTTCCACAGTTCATCTATTGTGAAAATCACAGCAGTAAACACTGACATGCTAACTTGGAATCCATTGGGCAGTAGGGGTTTTTTGTTAGGTTTTGTTTTGTTTTGTTGTTTGTTGGTTTTTTGGGAGGTTTTGTTGTTGTTGTTGTTGTTTGTTTGTTTGTTTGTTTTTCAAGACAGGATTTCTCTGTGTAGTTTTGGTGCCTGTCCTGGATCTCGCTCTGTAGACCAGACTAGCCTCCAACTCACAGAGATCCACCTGGCTCTGTCTCCCGAGTGCTGGGATTAAAGGCATGCACCACCACCACCCATTTTTTAGTTTTTCTAGTAAACTCCATCTTGACTTGCACAGTGGCAAGACTAGTGTACACTCCCACCAGCAGTGAGTGAGCTTTCTCTGAGTAAGCTGGAATCCCTGCATAGTTCTGATCTGCATTTCTCTGGTGGCTAGTGAGACTGCACATTTTTCATGTGTTACTGGCCATTTTGCTTCATTGTTTGAGAACTGCCCATTTCCATTTGGCTATTATTGATTGGATTGATTTCTGGCTTAATTTTCTGAATCAGTGGTATGTTCTAGATACTGATCCTCTGCACAAATAACACAGACTTTTTTTTTATTATGTGGGCAAGCTCTCAATTAACTAGTTTCTTTGCTTTGCAAAATTCCATTTGTCAGTTTTGGGCGGTTTTCTGTATGTGATGTGCTGGTTTGTTTAACTGTCAACTTGGCACAGCCTATAATCTCCTGAGAAGAGAGTCTTTATGTGGAATTGTCTAGGTCAGGTTGGTCTGTCGGCATGCCTGCGGGGGTTGTATTGATTGTTAAGGCAGGGTGGCCCACCCTGAATGTGGGGGGCAGACCATTTCATGTCCAGACTCTGCAGCAAGCAGGCAGTGTGGGTGCACTTGTTTCTCTGCTCTTGACTGAGGATGAGACCAGCTTGAGTTCCGGCCTTGACTTCCCGGAACTGATGGGACCATTTCCAAGTGACCCCTTTCTCCCCATGCCGCTTTTTCTCGGGGTGTTTATCATGCGACAGAAACAAAAGCAGAACACGGTAGTAAAGTTCAACCTAACCTGTTGTGCAACACTGAGACTCTCCTCTGCTTTCTCTCTCCTTTTCTTCCTCCCTCCTCCTCTCCCTCCCTCCCTCTCTCCCTCATTTTTGAGACAAAGTTTCTCTGTGTAATCCTGATTGTCATGGCACTCTGTAGACCAGGCTGGCCAGGAACTCAAGAGATCTGCCTGCCTCTGCCTCCCAAGTGCTGGGATTAAAGGCGTGCACTGCCACGCCCGGCATTTTGTTTGTTCATTCTGTTTTATTTTGTCTGAGACCTTCTCTCACACAAGCAGCTGAGCTTCAACTCCCATCACCAGTGGCCAACTGTTCAAACCAGTACCAATAAGATGGGCACAGGTTATAACCAATCAGGTTGCTTCTTTACCTCACTTCCGTTCTCTGTGGATGCCTCCTCTTCCCTCTGCCTATGTGATGCTGCAAGGCCTCCTGAAAGCACTCTTTAGTCAGACACTACCTGACTCTAAATCATAATGTGATAGCCTGTGAAATATGTCTTGTGTAATTTTTAACAAGAGCAGCATTTATTTCGCTGGGCGGCGCACACCTTGGGAATTCAGCGTGCAGCCTCACTCCCCTGAGAGAGAATGCTACTTCTGGTGATCATCTTCCCCCAAGCTCCACAGTTTAGCCTTGTACAGAGTGATGTCATTGTAGACCCTGAAGTGGTTCAGCCTGTTGTCCTGACGTTCTGGATTGACCTAAAGGGGAGAGGACAGGATCAGAAGGAAATCTGTCAGGGACGGGGCAGACTAGGGCTTACATGATGGAGAGGCGGGTCTGAATCAGGCCCACACCCCTGTGACAGCAGGGCTTTTCCTTTCTAAACCCTGCACTGTGACATGGATCTGTGAACATTCACATCAAAGATCCCCTGCTGCCTGAAGGGGGCCTTGCCTAAGGACTCACCACCCCTGGAAAGTAGCTCACAGAGGAGAGGCGGCATATATATATACTGTAGCCAGGCTCCTTGGCTACTGGGACAGCTCCTTGCATGGGCTACCTCACAAAAGTGTGAGCTTGTTGAGAGAGTATGGAGCATGAGTGCTGTGACACATAAATCTCATTCTATGCAAAGAGGCTGGCTATCTTCCTCTTAAGTAACCATCTATGAATCCACAATAAACTTCTCTCTAAAAATGGAGAAATGCTG